AGTTTGTGGTTACAGGAGGGAAGAAGAGCGATTGGTGGAATGATGTAAAGAGAGTAGTAACAGAGAAAAAGTTAGCATATGAGAGGTTTTTACAAAGCAGAAGTGATGCAAGGAAGGAGGAGTATATGGAGAGAAAGAGAGGTTAAAAGAGTGGTGAAACAATGTAAAAAGAGAGCAAATGAGTGAGGTGTTATCAACAAATTTTGTTGAAAATAAGATTAATAAGTTGAGAAAGCCTAGGGAAAGAATGGATTTGTTAGTTAAACATAGGAGAGGAGAGTTATTAAATGGAGAGGTAGAGGTATTGGGAAGATGGAGGGAATATTTTGAGGAATTGTTAAATGTTGATGAAGATAGGGAAGCTGTGGTTTCGTGTATAGGGCAAGGAGGAATAACATCTTATAGGAATGAGGAAGAACCAGTTGTGAGTGTGGGGGAAGTGCATGGAACAGTAAGTAGAGTGAAAGGGGGTAAAGCAGCTGGGATTGATAGGATAAAAATAGAAATGTTAAAAGCAGATGGGGATATAGTTTTGGAGTGGCTAGTGTTTTCATTTAATAAATGTATGGAAGTGGGTAAGGTACCTAGGGATTGGCAGAGAGCATGCATAGTTCCTTTGTATAAAGGCAAAGGGGACAAAAGAGAGTGTAAAAATTATAGGGGAATAAGTCTTGTTGAGTATATGGTAAAGTGTATGGTAGTATTACTGACAGAATTATGAGTAAGACGGAGAGGAGGATAGCAGATGAACAAGGAGGCTTTAGGAAAGGTAGGGGGTGTGTAGACCAAGTGTTTGCAGTGAAACACATAGATGAACAGTATTTAGATAAGGGTAAAGAGGTTTTTGTGGCATTTATGGATTGGGAAAAGGCATATGATAGGGTGGATAGGGGGGCAATGTGGCAGATGTTGCAAATGTATGGAATAGCAGGTAGGTTATTGAAAGCAGTGAAAAGCTTTTATGAGGATAGTGAGGCTCAGGTTAGAGTATGTAGGCGAGAGGGGGATTATTTCCCAGTAAAAGTAGGTCTTAGACAGGGATGTGTGATGTCACCATGGTTGTTCAATATATTTACAGATTGAGTAGTAAGAGAAGTGAATGCTCAGGTGTTGGCAAGAGGTGTGGGGTTGCTCCTTGCTGATGACACTGTACTTTTGGGAGATTCTGAAGAGAAGTTGCAGAAGTTGGTTGATGAGTTTGGTAGGGTACGTAAAAGAAGGAAGTTAAAAGTGAATATAGGAAAGAGTAAGTTGATGAGGATAACAAAAGAATTAGGTAACAGAAGATTGGATATCAGATTGGAGGGAGAGAGTATGGAGGAGGTGAATGTGTTTAGACATTTGGGAGTGGACATGTCAGCAGATGGGTCCATGAAGATGAGGTGAATCATAGAATTGATGAGGGGAAAAAAGTGAGTGGTGCACCGAGGAGTCTGTGGAGACAAAGAACTCTATCCAAGAAAGCAAAGAAGGGAATGTATGAGAGTATAGTTATACCAATGCTCTTGTATGGGTGTGAGGCATGGGTTGTGAATGTTTCAACAAGGAGAAGGCTGGAGGCAGTGGAGATGTCATGTATGAGGGCAATGTGTGATGTGAATATATTTCAGAAATTCTGTAGTTTGGAGATTAGGGGGTGTGGGATTACCAAAGCTATTATCCAGAGGGCTGAGGAGAGGATGGAACGAAATAGAATGACTTTGAGAATATACAAATCTGTAGTGGAGGGAAACGGAGTAGTGGTCGGCCTAGGAAAGGTTGGAGGGAGGGGGGTAAAGGAGGTTTTGTGTGCAAGGGGCTTGGACGTCCAGCAAGCGTGTGTGAGCGTGTTAGACAGGAGTGAATGGAGACAAATGGTTTTTAGGACTTGACGTGCTGTTGGAGTGTGAGCAAGGTAACATTTATGAAGGGATCCAGGGAAACCAGCAGGCCAGGCTTGAGTCCTGGTGATGGGAAGTACAGTGTCTGCACTCTGGAAGAGGGGTTTAATGTTGCAGTTTTATAACTGTAGTGTAGTCATGCCTCTGGCAAGACAGTGATGGAGTGATTGATGATTAAAATTTTTAATCTTCGGGCCACCCTGCCTTGGTGGGAAACAGCCGATGTGTTAATAAAAAAAAAAATAATGCAATAATAATAATGCGAGGGTCTTGGCAAGAGGCGTGGAGTTAAAAGATAAAGAATCACACATAAATTGGGAGTTGTCACAGTTTCTTTTTGCTGATGACACTGTGCTCTTGGGAGATTCTGAAGAGAAGTTGCAGAGGTTGGCGGATGAATTTGGTAGGGTATGTAAAAGAAGAAAATTAAAAGTGAATACAGGAAAGAGTAAGGTTATGAGGATAACAAAAAAATTAGGTGATGAAATATTGGATATCAGACTGGAGGGAGAGAGTATGGAGGAGGTGAATGTATTCAGATATTTGGGAGTGGACGTGTCAGCGGAATGGGTCCCATGAAAGATGAGGTGATCAAGAATGATGAGGGAAAAGGGTGAGCGGTGCACTTAGGAGTCTGTGGAGACAAAGAACTTTGTCCTTGGAGGCAAAGACGGGGAAGTATGAGTATAGTTTTACCAACGCTCTTATATGGGGGTGAAGCATGGGTGTGAATGTTGCAGGGAGAGAAAGGCTGGAGGCAGTGGAGATGTTTATGTCTGAGGGCAATGTTGGTGTGAATATAATGCAGAGAATTCGTATTTGGAAGTAAGGAGGAGGTGCGGGATTGCCAAAATAGTTGTCCAGAGGGCTGAGGAAGGGTTGTTGAGGTGGTTCGGACATTTAGAGAGAATGGAGCAAAACAGAATGACTTCAAGAGTGTATCAGTATGTAGTGGAAGGAAGACAGGGTAGGGGTCGGCCTAGGAAAGGTTGGAGGGAGGGGGTAAAGGAGGTTTTGTGTGCAAGGGGCTTGGACTTCCAGCAGGCATGCGTGAGGGTGTTTGATAGGAGTGAATGGAGACAAATTGTTTTTAATACTTGACGTGCTGTTGGAGTGTGAGCAAAGTAGCATTTATGAAGGGATTCAGGGAAACCGGCAGGCTGGACTTGAGTCCTGGAGATGGGAAGTACAGTGCCTGCACTCTGAAGGAGGGGTGTTAATGTTGCAGTTTAAAAACTGTAGTGTAAAGCACCCTTCTGGCAAGACAGTGATGGAGTGAATGAGGGTGAAAGTTTTTCTTTTTCGGGCCACCCTGCCTTGCTGGGAATCGGCCAGTGTGATAATAAAAAAAAAAATAATGCAATATAATAATAATATATACATTATTATTATTACAGATCATACATGTTCCATTCCATACTAGTGTTAGTAATATGTATAACATGTACAGTGTTTTGTATTATGCAAGATAATATTGATGTAGGTACTGACAGACAGATGATTCATCTTGTAAACAGACAACGTAAACTTATTGTATCGATAAATACAGTACAGTACTGTAAAGGTATTTTCTCATCCTTATGATTTTCTTAATATTTTTTTCTCTAGCTTACTTTATTGTAAGAATACAATATATAATACATATAGCATACAAAATATATGTTAATCAACTGTTTATGTTATCAGTAAGGCTTCTGGTCAACAGTTGGCTATTAACCCGTAAACGGTCCAAACGTATATATACGTTTTTTCAACATTTGAAAGCATGTAAAAAAAGTAATCTTCTTTTTGTTTTTCTACATTTGAAAATGTGTAAAAAAACTTTGATCTACTTTTTTTTTTTTGTTATATTTGAAAATATGTAAAAAAAAATTAGATCTACTTTTGTAGCACTACACATATGAAAGTAGATCTGCTTGGACCGTTTACGGGTTAATAGTTAAGTTTTTGAGGAAGTCAAAAGTTATATGCAGATTTTCAACTGTGCAGGGGGTTGGCACCCCTAGCCCCCATGTTCAAGGGTCAGCTGTATACCTTCTTGATCATCCTATTCTGCTTTTATCTTTTCTAATTTCCAAACTAAATCAACAATTCCTGTACTGTCATCTGAATAATACATTTCAAAACCCCAGACACCACCATTGCTCAAGGCCTTTATTTCCACAGTTTCGCCATGAGTGGCTTCTTCGGTCTACTTAAAATGTTTAATAACCGTTTTGATTAGTTCATATTGATTATCCAATGCTTTGACTGCTGATGGGCAACCTGCATTTATATTCTATTGAAAAAATAATCACAATACTGTGACTGGAGCAATACACAAATAACCCACACTTTTGGGAGAAAACTGTAAGACATTTCTATAAAATCCTATTATTTGTTGTTTTCTTATGGCTCTCATTTTTTGTCAGGCTTAGTGCATGACTCCTAGTAAATTGTAAACTAACCATAGGATATTGTTTAATGTACTTAATGGCTTTCCCATGCTGCCAAAACCTGCTTGTTCCTGCTCATGATTGCCATATAACCAGATTAGTGTGTATTTAAAGAGATATGGTCTTTGAAACGAAATGAGCCCAAATCAGAAATAAAATTTATTATTCAGACAATTACGTATTCACAGACTTTAAATAAGCAGGATCTCTTGAAACATAAACCTCTTCCCTACAAATTTAGGGGCCGACTGCTATTATTCAGTATGTATACATATTTCCCATAAAAAAATATATAATATTTTCACAAAATAGTTCTTCAATCCATGCTTCATAATTTATAGAAACTGGCCAATTATTGATCTACACATAATGTTGGTAAACACTTTAGAATTCATTTGCAGCCAGTTATGGTTTATGGTAAATGCCAAGAATGCGCAGCACTAGATAAATTGCACATGAGGAAAGAATGAAACATGATGCTGAAGCTCAATGTATGAAATGTGTCAGTGTTTCACACTGACACATTTCATACACTGAGTTTCATACTAAAGCTATGAAATTTATGTAATGTTACACAGTGGTCAAAAACTGGTCACCAAAATCTTTCAGCCATTGAATTTGTTAGTTTGGACTTCCTTGTTCAGTTATTTAAACTAAACTATTTTACTGTATTTTTATGTTGCAGCTCGTAAGAAGCTGGTAGCAAAACAGCGACTAGATGCCTGGGAAGGAACATTAACGTGACACACTGGATATGCTGCTCTTACCTCGTGACTAATTTATGTTGACAATTTATTGACAATAGTGATTACTAAGGTAAAAAGAATATGGCTTCTCCAGTGCATTCAAGATTTAATATAAATAAATTATACAGTTCAACAGTCCAAAAATTGTGGGCTGTCATAAATGAAATAATTAGATATATTAAATTTATAATATAACCTGCAGATAATGAAATCATTAGTCATTGAAATTTGTGTTTTTTAAAGTGTATCAAAGGAGTGATAATGGTATAAAACAGGATCTGAAAGGAATTTTTGTAGAATTACAAATAGATTTTGACTGTATTCTTCATGCATTAGTAAGAAAGCCTTAATACTAAATTTACTGTACATATACCTTAATACACCATACAAGCATACATAGGTTTTATGATAAAATCCTATATTTAGTGAAGTCCATAACAGCATATGACTTTTAAAGTAATACATAGTCTTGATATAAATTTTGTATAAAATGAGGGGTTGTTGTTTTATGGGTCCTAATTGTACTCAAGTCCTTGAAAATAGCACGATGAAATATGCTGCTTAATAAAATAATCACAAAAATTTATTTACCAGCCAGTGGAATATTTAAAGGGCCAGCTAACTACCTCAGTAACCTGAGGCGGACCTGAACCGCAAATATGTACCTGCTACCTCAGTGCTCCACTGACCGGTCCAATACTGCTCCCAGTTAGCAGTTACAAAGATATATATAGAGCAAGTGCCTGAGGTATGACTTCCAACAACCCTATAATAGGTCTTGGATCTGTTATCACTTATTATTGTAATTTTAAAGACAAAAATGATATGTATTGTGTATATAATTTCTGTTTGAGATTGCAAGGGCTTAGCTCTAACTCTTGGACAAAGATTTCTTTCTGTTAATTGATGTATTTTGATGAGCTTTACTTTTGAATTTGTATATCGTCATTATCTTTGTATATGGTGACCTAACTCATTGCACTTCTTTATTGAGTGATTGTATTGTATACTGTTAATGGACATGCAAGATAACATTTATGAAGAGATTCAGGGAAAATGGTTAACAGGACTTCAGTCCTGAAGGTGGGAATGGCAGTGCCCACAATCTGAAGGAGGGGTGGAGGATGTTGCAGAGCAGTCCAAATTGTAATGTCAGCACACTTCTGACAAGACAGCAGTTAAATTAATGATGGTGAATGTTTCCTTTTTGGGTCACCCTGCTTTAGCAGGAGATGGCTGTTGAGACAACAACAATAAGTTTAATAACTCTCTCATTTAGGATTTTTTTTTCCAGTATGTCCTCATCCTGAACTTTCCCTTATTAAAAACACTACTGTGCCTTGTGATTTTTTCCCCATGATTGTTCCTGTCTTGATCCATGCCCATCCAATGACATTAGACAGTTTTATGGAATCTTTCCTTGAAGTTTTGAAACAAACCTCTGATTTTTTTCAAACGTAGATTTTTTATATATATACATAGGGGACTTTAAACCAGTACTGCATTCTGAAGGATTAGTCAAATTGGTGTTTGTGTATTTTCAAGGTGAATGGAACTTCTTGGATTCAGTAATATCTACTGCAAAGTCCTTATATGGAGTTTGTGTCCACTAGCCCCCTCTTTAGTTAGAAAGCAGAACCAACTAGTTCCCTTTTTTTTTTTTTTTTTTTTTAGGCATGAATTTCCACCAGTCCCTCATTCTTTTGTTCCTTCCCATATCAGTCTGTTCCTTGTTTATTTTAGGTAATGCCCCTATGTATTTTATATTTGTTGTGATCATATATCTTGTCATTTTTATTCACGTTTAATTTATGTACCTTTCATCATTTTTCTCCCTCGGTTCAACAAGATGTATAGTGACAGATCTTTAATTTTCTTACACTTCTTGTGCTTGATTAGAACTAACATTTTATGATAAATTAACCCCATTTTTTTTTTTTACCTTGTCACTGATCTTCCACCAAAGTAAGTTGACAAAAAAAAAAAAAAACATTCATCATCATTCATTCAATTACTGTCTTGCCAAATGTTTGTTGCCTACATATATGAGATGACCCTCCAACTACAACATCCCCTTCCCACCACCAGGATTTGTTTATAACTAACTGGTTTCATCTGAATCCCCCATATAAATGATACCTAGCTCACACTCAACAGCATGTCAAATCACTTACCCTGCTGGATGCTTTAGTCCCTGCAACATTAAGCCCTCACTCCAATCCTTCCTGAGATACCATAATGCCTTTCATCCTAGATTTATACACCTTAATCATCCTATTCTGCTTCATCCCTTCTAAATGCCCAAACCACCTCAACAACTTTTCCTTTGCCTTTTGTATAATAGCTCTCAGAACCTCACACCATCTAATTTTTAAACTTTAAATTCTTTTCTTAATATTCGTACTACACATTATTCTTCAATGTATCTTCATTGCCCCCAGCCATCTTGCTACAATTTTTAAAGCCTATACATATCTCATACCCATATTAAAGGGCTAGTTTCACTATACTCTAGTACATTCCTCTTTTTGCTTCAACACTCTCCCTACCTTTTTGTTCTTCATTTGTTCTGTGATTCATCTCATCTTTAATATCTACTGTACATTAACTGCTTCCATCCTACCTCCTTCCACTCTGATACATAATTTTTCATTGCTAAACTTTACTATTCTCATCACCTAACTGTTCTGAGTTTACTTTATTTCTGAAAAGTTACAGAAGAACTTTGTCATCAGCAAAAAGTAATTTCAACATGTATCAGATTCACTGTCTTTTTATTCCACACCTCTCCCAACACCCTATAATGCAGTCGACAAACACCAAGGTGACATCACACATCCATGTCTAATGCCTACTCCTGCTGAAAAATGATCCTTTTCTCTCCTATATTCCCTAATCTGAACCTCCTTTTCTCCATTAAAACATCACTGTTTTTAATAATATACTATATTCTGTGCATTTGCAACATTTGCCACATTGATGCCCTATCTACTCTCACATTCCTTTCCTAAATACATAAATGCTACACATAGTTCTTTATCTTTATCCAGGTATATGCTTCAGTGTAATTACTTGCTCTGCACATCCCATGCCCTTCCTAAAAAACCTCTTCATTTCTTTGTAGTCTTACTTTCTGTCTTACCCATAACTCTCAATAATTTTACCATTTACTTTACCTGATACACTCAAAGAATAAAAACTATATACCCACCTAGTGACACATTCATTCCCAAATACCTAATACTACAGGTACAGCATCGATTTTCCGGTGACCTTTGTCGGTTTAGCGTTTTCTTTGATTATAATAATTATAATAATACTATTTTCCATACACTGATGGTCTGGAACCATATAAATTTACAAGCAGGAACTTGAAATTCCTGTGGCAGTGTATTTACCACCAAACTGTACGTCACTTATCTAACCCCAAGACCAAGAAATACTGTGCTCTCTAAAGGCGGAAACATCAGTAATCCGGAAAGGCTTTGGAACCAAAGGTCTGGAAAATTGTTGTACCTGTATATGCTTACTTCCTCCATCATTATTAAATCAAAACCAAGTGCTAAACCCACTAGGGTAACTTTTTTTTTGTCAGTCATCTTGCTCTTTTATCACTCAATGGAGAGGCTTTTATGTCAGTGAAGGACTTGTGGGTTTTGATGCAGTGGTCTTATGTTCTCTTGAGTGAAACCCAATTACCTCCTATGTATGATTCCCCTGAATTTAGTGGTTCTTAATGATGATACATGTAATTACTTTACTCTTTAACAAGTCAGCTGTCTCCCACCGAGGCAGGGTGACCCATCATCATTCAACTCTTTCACCTCACTCACACATAATCACTGTTTTTGCAGAGGTGCTCAGAATACAACAGTTTAGAAGCATATACATATACAGTGGTCCCTCAATAATCGTCCGGCCTGAAAGTCGTCCATTTCGGAAATAGTCCTGTTTTTTCGTCAAAATATTGGCTCGCAAATGGTCCGGTAACTCGCTAATAGTCCTAATAGTCCTTCATCTCGGACGCGTACTCACGCTCTGAGCCGCCTCGGCCTTTCCTTCCCAGCCAGTGTGCCATTGTTTACCAGTGAGTGACGGTCCCCTCACATGCTCCTACGAAATATTTCATAATATTCCATTGATTTTAGTGCTTGCAAGTGCTCTAAATAAGCTACCATGGCTCCAAATAAAACTTCTAGTGCCAGCCCTTTGGTAAAGAATGTGAGAAACACATAATTTATGAAAAAGTTTGTAGAAAAATACAAAGATGGTGGTGGTAGAGTGGAAGCAGTTGTGATAGTGGTTGATGAACATAAGAAAGGAGGATCACTGCAGCAGGTCTGTTGGCCCATGCTCGGCAGGTCCTTTACAATTCATCCCACTAACGAAACATTTTCCCAACCCAGTCCTCAATGCTACCCAAGAAATAAGCTATGATAACTCTATCCACTCATTTGGGACTTGCAAATGAGTGCTTCCACTCTACTACCACCATCTTTGTATTTTTCTACAAACTTTTTCATAAATTGTGTGTTTCTCACATTCTTTACCAAAGGGCTGGCACTAGTTTTCTTTGGTAGTAGTGATGGTGGTAGAAGGTAGTAGTGATAGTGGTAGAAGGTAGTAGTGATGGTGGTAGAAGGTGGTAGAAGGTAGTAGTGGGTTCCTTCTTTAGTGGTTCAGCGATTCTACCAACTCCTCCAATGTTGTTGGAGTTATATAGGGCTACAAAAACCACCGCCGACTCAGCTGCTGCTTCACCACCATTATGGACGGCTTACACTCGGTGGCCCTTATATACCCAACAACAAACAACACCTCTCGTGACATACGTAATGACTTACTTTATTCATTCTAGAGTATATTCCATGTTTCTATGTTATTAATATTGTTTATTATGTCATATTAGTTGAATTGTGATAGATAAATAAGCCATAGAGTTGATATTAGTGTCATATTCTCCAACAATAAACTTGCCATCCCTCTCTCACACAAACAAATAGACAATAAGAACATAACAATGGAAGAACACTGCAGGTCTACTGGCCCATATAAGGCAAGTCCTTATCAAAATGACCTCCACCCAAAGCTACCCAAGAATTTACTCCCGTACCCAATGATACAAATCAAACTCAGCTCCTCCAACTCGTATATTTGTCCAATCTCTTCTTAAAGCTACCCAAGGTCCTAGCCTCGATCACCCTACTGGTAAGTGTGATGTTAAATAAGAACTTAAGAAAGTAGGAACACTGGAACAGGCCTGCTGGCCCATACTAGGCCGGTCCTTCACAAATCCAACCCACTAACAGAACAAATGCTACCCAATCAATAAACTCAGGTGCAAGTCCGACTCAAATCCAACCCCTTTCACTCGTGTATTTATCCAACCTAAATTTGAAACTACCCAATGTTTTAGCTTCGATCACCCTACTAGGCAGACCGTTCCACTCATCAACTACCCCTATTACCAATGTTCATTTATACATTTTATTAGTGCCCTAGAGTCCTTATGGAGGGGGATTCCCCTTCCAAATAACCTCTCTTCCCTCTCTCCTCCTCCCTGTCTTCCATTCATCAGCAACAGCCTTCAATAAAGGTAACTGTCATGTTGAATGTTCATTCTTTTGTGCATGTAAATCTATCTTTTAGGTAAAAAAAAAATTTTTTGTTGATACTTCTGGGTGTCTGGAACGAATTAATTGGATTTACATTATTTCTTATGGGGAAAATTGATTCGAAAATCGTCCATTTCGATAATAGTCCCACTTCCAGGAACGGATTATGGACGATTATTGAGGGACCACTGTAAAGATACACAACATATCCTTCCAAACTGCCAATATCCCAAACCCCTCCTTTACAGTGCAGGCATTGTACTTCCCATTTCCTGGACTCGAGTCCGACTATATAAAAATAACCGGTTTCCCTGAATCCCTTCACTAAGTATTACCCTGCTTACACCTCCAACAGCTCATCAAGTCCCAAATACCATTCGTCTCCATTCACTCCTATCTAACATGCTCACGCACTCTTGCTGGAAGTCCAAGCCCCTTGCCCACAAAACCTCCTTTACCCCTCCTCCCTCCAACCTTTTTGAGGACGACCCCTACCCCGCCTTCCTTCCCCTACAGACATATATGCTCTCCATGTCATCCTACTTTGATCCATTCTCTCTAAATGACCAAACCACCTCAACAACCCCTCTTCAGCCCTCTAATACTTTTATTAACTCCATACCTTCTCCTAATTTCAACACTCTGAATTTTCTGCATAATACTTACACCACACATTGCCCTTAGACAGGACATCCCCACTGCCTCCAACCGTCTCCTCGCTGCAGCATTTACAACCCAAGCTTCATACCCATATAAGAGTGTTGGTACCACTATACTTTCATACATTCCCTTCTTTGCCTCCATAGATAACATTTTTGTCTCCACATATACCTCAACACACCACTCACCTTTTTTCCTTCATCAGTTCTATGATTAACCCTTTCAGGGTCGACAGGCCCTCTCAGAGACTTGTTCTCAGGATCGGCCAAATTTAAAAAAAAAAATTTTTTTTTCTTATGAAAAGATAGAGAATCTTTTCCCGATTATAATGACACCAAAAGTATGAAATTTGATGGAAAACTTACGGAATTATGCTCTCGCGAAGTTAGCAGTCTCGACGATGTTTATGCATCGGCGATTTTGCCCACTTTGAGCCCTATTTTTGGCCAATTCCAGTGTAGTCAACAAAAATCATAACTATTTTGCTAGAACTCTATTTTTTCTACCGAATGAGTACAAGAAACCACCCTCTTGCCAATTTCACACAAATTTCAAAATTGCCAATTTCCGAATAGGGTCCAGAATAAACAAGAAAGACATTCCTGGCACTAAAATAACATTTCCTCTGTTCGTAAGTCATGTCCCCATGCCCTTCTTACATTCTTTTGTTTTCCACTTTGAATTTTTATTCTCACAAAAAAAATAGAAGATTTACTGTTATGCAGACTACTGCATTGGTGTAGAAATGGTATAAATATTATCAGCGCACTTGTGAAAGAATATTAGACTCGCCAGTTGACGTGTATTGGACGCATAGCATTATTTGTTTACTTTTGAACTTTGGTAAAAATCGAACATTTCTGCTACTTTGAGTGCAATTTCAAGGTAGTTTTCTTTGTAAAACCAGTCAAAATCATCTCAATTTCTGTAATATGTCTTCCATTCTATAAAATGAGACCAGGAAAACTAGAATACAATAATAAATACCATACGAAAATACAGTGCAAAGTCGCTGTTTTAATCCAAAAACATGGTCAGTTTTTTTTTTCTCATTACGCACTGTGTGCTGCAGGATTTTTTTTATACCGTGCACACTGACCACATAGACACATTCTTTCATATGTAGGCCTACCAACTTTCTCTCACTAGATTTGAGGGCGCTAGCATTTAGGCGTACTAGTACGTCAAAAACCCTGGTGCGTAAGCCATACTAGTATGGCCGAAACCCTGAAAGGGTTAACCTTATCCTTCATATATCCATCCGCTGACACATCAGCTCCCAAATATCTGAAAACGTTCACTTCTTCCATACTCCTCCTCCAATTTGATATCCAATTTTTCTTTATCAAAATCATTTGATACCCTCATCACCTTACTCTTTTTCTATGTTCACTTTCAACTTTCTACCTTTACACACACTCCCTCCTAAACTCACACACTAACCTTTGCAACTTTTCTTTAGAATCTCCCATAAGTACAGTATCATCAGCAAAAAGTAACTGTCAGTTCCCATTTTGTATTTGATTCCCCATAATTTAATCCTACCCCTCTCCTGAACACCTTAGCATTTACTTCTTTTACAACCCCATCTATAAATATATTAAACAACCATGGTGACATTACACATCCCTGTCTAAGACCTACTTTCACCAGGAAGTAGTTTTCCTCTCTTCTACACACCCTAACCTGAGCCTCACTATCCTCATAAAAACTCTTTACAGCATTTAGTAACTTACCACCTATTCTTTTTGTGTTCACTTTTAACTTCCTTCTTTCACTTTTACAGTGACATCACATATCTTTGACTAAGGTTCACCTAACAGGAAAATATTCTTTTGCATATCCAAACCTGATCTTCACTTAATTAAAATACTACATGGCTTTTAACAAGTTATCACTTATTCAATGTATTATTAACACCAGCAATATTGCTTCCCCCTCTACTCATTGGCTTTTTTCAAATCTATAATATAATGACCTACTTCTTTCCCCTTATTTAAGTGTTGCTTATTTTGGCTTTTAGTTTATCCATATAACCCATTTCCTTTCTAAATCCAGTGTTGCTTTACAATTGTACTTTCTTTTTTCTGTATGTTGACCTACTCCCCAGGCTTTCTGATTTCTTTTCCATGACTACTACCATATTTTATGGCATTCAAGTTGCTATCCCCCTCCCCTCCAATTGAGTCTCTAAAATTTACACAGCATCTTGCAAGGCCAAAGGTTACATTGCTTATAGGCCTTGGCCTAAGCCTAGAAAAGTGTTTAGATAATAGACAGTAATCTAAGCCCCTGTATATGACCCAATATTGAATCATGTTAACTACTTTGCATAAAATAATGAATAAATAACAAAAATAAACCTAAAAATTCATTAGTGCTTAGCACCTGTAGGCTAAGGTAAACCAGGCAATGGAGTCATATGAACTATACAAATACAAATTTTTATTTCCTTGCAAGATTACAATGAGATTATGTAATTACAGTAATGAGTTGCTGTGCAGAGAGCCACTGTCATGCCTTGGCATTATGGGGGTCACAAAATTTAATGGCTGACTACTTAATACTAGAGAAAGTGATCATAGTTTAAGTTGTACATTTGTTTTTATTTATAGTAGACATTAAGTTTACTCAAATTACAATCTGGGGATATTACATTGGGACAAGTTGAAAGTATTTTGTAGGTTTTGTATATCAGTAGTAAATACTTAAATTATATTATGGGAATATAACATTGTGAGTTGTTGAAAGTAGTTTACAGTAAGAGAATGCTACAATTGGGTGTAAGGCAGTATTGTTTTGGGTAGGTATTTATACTACAATGTAGTATTAAGTAATGTGTAGTATCAGGTTAATCCACCTGTTTACCATCAAATAACCCTGTGATATTAAATGTGAACATTATCAGATATAAAAAGCACAGGTAAAATTGTGGTACAGGCTGACCCTGCTTATACAGCTGGTTAGGTTCCAGACTACTACTGTAAAGTGAAACACAGCCTTTTTTCACGTTTAAAAGCAGATAAAAGTCTGATAACATGTTTACACTATTGTATATAAAGTGAGCAGTAGAGCTAGGCCTGAAAAATGCATATACGGTATACACATTTACTTAAAATATTTTCATCCTTGTAGTAAGTGGTGAATATATTTATTATAGGAAGTCTGAATAAATGAGGAATGGGTATAATTGAAAACTGCTGTATTAGCAAAACACTGTAAAGCAGGGCCCTTCTGTATGTTAAAAAGGGTTCAAGTAACGCTATATACTGGTATACGGTAGTAATACACAAGCCGCCATTTGCACACACTGGGTTTGTTTTGGTCATGTTGCAGTACAAATGTACTCATTAAATATTAAAATTAAACTTTAAAACATAAAACATGAAATATTTTTAAAATGCACGGAAAAAACTCGAATCAGCAGCAGTCCTAGCCGCAGACACATCCACTTGCACGCATTGAGAGAGTAAGTAGAAAGAGAACATGGCCAGTCACAACAAGAAACAGCAGATCTTGAATAACTGCCTGTATACTGGTTAGCAAAAGTAATGCATAATGTGTTATTTTTATAACTAATAGCATTAGTGCATTTTTTAGCAGTTTCACATAAATTTAGTTTGTTTTTGCCACATTTTATGCAAGACTAGCTCTATTTGAAAATTTCATTCGGCACCTCTGCCATTTAGCTGAATCACTGGTAAACAACCACAACAAACCTTCAACAGGTGTTTTTACATGTAATTCCTCAGGCTTAACATAACATTATTACCGTGGATACGGTTTATCTTTTTTTCCCCAAAACAATTTAGCCTGTGAGAATTAGGGGGGGGGGGTGTCATCCTAGACATCAAGAGCATCTTGTCTGCCATAAAATACAGTAATTCTCAACAAAATTGGCCTAATTTTTTCATGTGCTCTTCTTTGTACTGCTTCATAGCTCTTTAATTTCTCCATATTATCTGCTTTTTATCATTTTTACATTGTTAAAACCTTTCCTATAGTTACCATATCTCCCTTTCCAGTTCACCTCATTATTATGTTAATCCCTTTTTCCTCCCTCACACACTTTAGCATTACACTTTTAAATCCACATTATACCTCTGATGACCTCCCTCATAACTCTTACCATCCTTTTGACATTATTCTCCTTGTACCTCACCTGTCCAACTCTGAGCTTCAATACCACCAAATATTTGTCAGACATGCGAGCCATGAAACACTTTCATAGTAAGAGGAATAAAGAGGCAGAAGCAGCTAGATAACAATACAGTAGATACTGACTGCAATTTCATATGTTAATACCATAAAAGTAAGCTTTCCCAGCAGTCGTGGGGAGCTGATCGTCGAACCCTCCTTCACCTACATTCCACCCTTATTTTATCGAAACTTGATTATGGTGACCAGATCTATTCAGCGGCATCTCCTGCTACTCTCTCTAGCCTTAACCCCATTCATCACCAAGGATTACGTTTATGCCTTGGTGCTTTTCGCTCTTCCCCTGTCGAAAGCCTCTATGCAGAAGCGAACGTTCCATCCTTATCCGATCGCCGTGATGCCCATTGCCTGCGCTACAATGTACGCTCTCATGATCCCGCAATCCTTCCATTTATAGAATGGTCCACTGATATTAGTAGACATTCTTATTTGTTCGCCGCCCCTGCTTTACTCCGTCCACTTCTCTCTCTCGCCTTCAAATTCGCTCTTGTCTTCTCTTCAACTACCACCTTTCTATGTACATGTAGCACTCACTTTTCCCTACCCCCCCTGGGAGTCCCCAGCTGTCGAGTCTGTTCTTTCTTCCCTCCCTTGCTCGAAAGCCCAACTGTCTAACGGTCGCTTCCCCGCTCTCTTTTCTTGACCACTTTCACTCCTCATCTCATGCCATTGCAGTGTACACAGATGGGCTCTAAGTCTTCTGACTGGCGTAGGATTTCGCAGCAGTGTTTCCGTCAGACGTCGTACAAAGGGCATTTACTAACTTCAGGCTAGTATTTTTACCTGCTGAATTATATGCCATCCCTTACAGCACTTATCCGTATTGCATCTATGCCTGATGTCAACATTGTGGTTGTCTCATACTCCTTAGTGCTTTACAGGCTATACAAAAAAATTGATTACACCTCACCCCTTAGTCCTCTCCGTATCCAACTTTGGCTACGCCGCATCTTTACTAAGCATAAAGATAATTGTTTTTTGTTGGGTCCCCTGGTCATGTTGACGTACGGGCAATGAACAGCAGACACTGCTGCGCGGTCAGCAGTACATGACCTACCAGTTTCTTACAGAGGTATTCCATGTACGGACTATTTTGTCTGTAATATCTTCCCCCTTCACACCCGTGGCAACAACGTTGGTCTACTATCTCAGGCAACAAACTCAGTCTATTAACCGAGTATAGGTACTGGCCGTCTTCTTATCACCAGTGTTCGAGGTTGGGAGACAACCTCCTCCCGAGTCTTCGCATTGGCCATACATCGTCTTACTCATGATATCTCATGGAGAGGCGTCTTGCTCCTCTCTGTGAAATTGCCAAAGCTCCATTATCATCCAGGCCACAATTTCTGTTGGACTGCCCACTTTATCAACGAGCACGCAGAATTTACGCTCTGTCGTCGTCTTCGCCCCGCTGCTCTCATCTTTACCGTTCCCTTCTCAGCTGATTGGACCCACCTTTCATCCGGACTCATCTTATTGACTTTTTGACAACGACTATGACTTACTTCACAAATTCTGATAACTTTCAGCCCTTTTCTACTTGTATCTCTTGCTACCCTCCCTACCCCCGGTACTATTCCCCTGCCCTGCCCCCGCTGTTTTCTGTAACCTCTGATCATCTCCCCCTCCCTCCCCTGCCATCCAATTCCCTTGCTTCCTTCCCTACCCTGCAGCGCTGTATAGCCCCTTGTGTCCCTGCTTAGCGCTTCTTTTTGATTAAATAATAATATAATAATCCCAGCAGTCGACTGAAAGTTAATAGCCGAGCCTAAGAGGATAGTTCACTCCCTCTCAAACTCAGATATGTAAATATATGCATTTGCTGTACATGCATCAATTTAAGGGTGGGGTCAGGGACCAAGACTTGACCTCCACACAAATCCAAGTACAGTCTGTTTTGGCATTTATTGTTAGTATATTCAGACATTTAAGTTGCCAATGTTGTATGGTGTAAAAAAAAATTATGCATAAATGAAGAATATATTGTGCATTTAGGTACTCCAATGAAATATAAATTTAAATATCTGAGTATAGTTATGTAATAAATTACAAGTATGTGTTATTTTTCTGATGTATACCTAGAGGAATTGTGTATTTTGGTATGCATGTAATCAACAGCTGTGATGTTCTGTCTCACTTCATATTAATTATTACAAAATAAACATTACATTAGCTCATGCTATGCATGTACTAGGTTTATCTTTAAAAATCATATTTTAATGTATGTTGTAGCTGGTGGCAGCAGTTTATATGACAATTTACCTACTGCAGGTACTTAGTTTTTTTATTTATTGCATAATTTATTTACTTCCACAAAGTGTTCTCAAACACGCAGTCATATTTTATGTAATTCCTGCTGGGGCATTATGGTCAGAGTTTCTTGACTGATCTTATATAATTAATATTTGGAACTATGTATTGGTTGTTTGTTAAATAGACCAAAAGAAATGGAAACCTCAAGTGAATAACTTGACTTATACAATTTGTGTTGAAATTATTTATATTACATTTGTCTGAGGATGTGATACAGTATCATAATACAAAAAACAGATATGTGATTCCATGTTTATATGAGCAGGAGAATAGTGGAACCATAGTGCAATATGAGAAAAAAATGATTAATGAATCATCTTATAACTGCTTTATAATGATTGATTGAAGAGTTTTATATAAACAGCCGCTTGAACTTGAATATGTATTTTTACAATGTTTATGAAATTTGATTCTGCATTTAGCAGACATAATTTTATACATTTGAAAATAGTTTGTGAATAGCCTTATTTTAGTTTGGCAGTTCTTTGCCGTTAATACTGTAGATATATTTCTTCAACAGATGAGGAGCATTTTTCTACCCACACTGTTGTTAGTAATGTGAATGATGTGAATCTTGCAATATATATATTTTTGTACATCTTTCACATATTCTTTCTCTCCCAGAAACTTGTCAATAAATATGTGATTTGTTTGATAATTTTGTTTTAGTTATCTTATTATGTAATTCACTGAAGCACAGTGGAAACTCAGTTTAATGGTCTAATATGGGGGAAGGGGTGTTCAATTAATGAAAATCTATTACATCGATACCACCACCAGAAGCATATAGTGCAGGACAGTAAGAGTATGTAGTATGATGATAATACAAAATAGGGAAGGTGGTAGTGCAGCCAGCGCAGTTGCTCTATCACCACTCACCAGCCAGTGTATTAATAGATTCTCTTCTCAGAATGCTCATCATTCATGTGAAGGTGTGTATATGTACTAACCTTTACAAATTTGCAGGAGTGAAGTCTTGGCTCCTAGCTCCCATCACCTAAATTGGCATTTGCCAGGTTCAGTCCCTCCTAGCCTCATGAGTTCTATCATACACTTAAAACTACTTATAGACCCTGTATCTACTGACATCGTACCATTTCCCCACTGCTTAGATTGAAGAAATACTTCTTGACAACCCTGTAGCTCGTGTATGCAGCATCCAGCTTTGTCCCCAGGTACCCATTTCTCGCCTATTGCAGCGCTGTATAGTCCTTGTGGCTTAGCGCTTCTTTTTTTATTATAATAATAATAATCAAGCAGCCTATCCCTGTCCACCCTATCAATTCTTCTGAATACTTTGTCTCCCCTGGTCTTTCTGTCCTCCAGTGATGTTCGATTCAATTCTGTTAGCCTCTTCAAGCTCATGCTCGTTGATCCACAGAACGTTCCTGTTATTTGTCTGCCTAGCCTCTTGTGGGGTATAGTACCAAATGCCTTACAGACCCTGTCATACCTCCATTTCCTCACCAAGTTCATTCCACTTCCTGACCACTCAAACTGAAGAAATACTTCCTAACATTCCTGTGGCTTATCAGTGACTTGAATTCCAAATGTCCCTGGGTTTCAATCTCTCAAACATCCTGTCCCTGTGTACCTATCAATTATCCTGAGTATTTTGTATGTTACAGTCTTCCATGATTCTTTTGTTCTCCAATGTAATTAGATTTAATTGTTAGCCTCTCATAGCTCATGCCCATAACTCAGGAAAAAGCCTTGCTGCATACCTGCACTTTCTCCAGTTTCTTAGCTCTTTCATTTACAACCCCCACAATTAAATTTTTTCACCGTCACAAACCCAAAAATTAAGTCCCAGTAATGTAACAATTTAAAAAATGGCATGAAGACAATGACACCAAAAATGCAAAACATGACGAAAAAGTTAACTGAATTATGCAAACAGTAGTGGCGTATGACCCTTATGGGTTTAGCGCTTGGTTATGAGTGGTGCATTGAGGTACAGTGGATCCTTAGTTTTTGTATGCCTTACTCTGTATGTAAAGCTATAGTTCTTCTTTCTTTCTTTCAACACATCGGCCGTATCCCACCGAGGCGGGGTGGCCCAAAAGGAAAAACGAAAGTTTCTCCTTTTACATTTAGTAATATATACAGGAGAAGGGGTTACTAGCCCCTTGCTCCCAGCATTTTAGTTGCCTCTTACAACACACATGGCGTACGGAGGAAGAATTCTGTTCCACTTCCCCATGGAGATAAGAGGAAATAAACAAGAATAAGAACTAGAAAGAAAATAGAAGAAAACCCCGAGGGGTGTGTATATATATATGCTTGTACATGTATGTGTAGTGTGACCTAAGTGTAAGTAGAAGTAGCAAGACGTACCTGAAATCTTGTATGTTCATGAGACAGAAAAAAGGACACAGCAATCCTACCATCATGTAAAACAATTACAGGCTTACGTTTTACACTCACTTGGCAGGACGGTAGTACCTCCCTGGGCGGTTGCTGTCTACCAACCTACTACCTGTAAAAGCTATAGTTATTATCTATAAAATATTTTTTTTTTTAATATTTCCCATAAGAAATAATGTAAATCCAATTAATCCATGCCAGACACCCAAAAATATTAACAAAAAATACATTTATAGAGAATAACTATAGTTTTTGTAG